TGTTTATGTTAAAGCTGAAATGATGGGTTTGGATGGATTGTTGAAGTTGTTGGTAAACAAGTTTAGTGAGATTATAGTTAGGCTTTATAATATCCTTTGCAATTCATTTTATTTTGAACTTTATTTCTTTTCCCCTCAAAATAACTAAAAATTATTAGGCTTCCCTTGTTGAGAAATGGAAAGCAGTTGAAGATGATTTACTTTCTAATGATGATTGGGCTGATTATCAAAAAGGATCGACAAAATCCACAAATCCGGAATCATGGATTAAAGAACAAATCGAATCAGGCGAAGCATTAAATAATCCGAATTTAGAACCAATAAAAGGTGATTGGAGACAACGAAATAAAAATAAAAAGTTGTAGTTATATATGTGAATTAGAGAGTTAGAAAGTTAAACTTCAATTATTCCAGTTTTGACCTTGTTAAAAACTAGTTTTGATAATCTATTAATTTGCATAGTATTTTTTGTTTCATGGGATTTTTTGCAAAAACAAAGTTTCTTTAATGAAACTTATGGATGATAATTGATTTGTGATGTATATAATATAATATTTTGTTATAAAGAAACAAAATAAATTTACGATAATTACTTTTATGTTGTAAAAACGCTTATATAAAGAAATAAAAAAATAAATCTATTAATTAGATGACGTTTTAAATAAAAGTTATTTTGCAAAAATACTAAATTTCACGCGCGTGAATTTTTCACGAATTAATTAAAAATCATTTCTGAATTGCATCGATTAAACTTTGTTAAAACTTTTTTAAACGAAACAAACATGCCGGATAACGGAGGGAAAAGATATTACCATGAAGCGGTGGCAAGCATGGTGAGCATTGCTTCCGCTAATACTGGTCGTGGTTCACTTTTAGTTGCGAATAGTAGATTCCAACTGTTTTCCAAAATAAGAGATGGAAATGTAAAAGTAACAGATGTGGTTGATCTTTGGAGATACCTGATTGAAGGTTAAAACTTGAAGGTAAATAATAACTGTTAGGTCAAATTAGATTAATGCAAGTTTGTCTTATTATTGCTCTTTTTTTCTTAAAGAACATTGTAAAAATTATTTTGTCGAGCTTATAATAAAACTCGAGTCTTATTCCAACCAAGTCCTGGCGTCTTGGGCTTTCTTGAAGATTAGCATCATCGCATATTCCTGCTATGCAACCAATATATAACCCGCAGCTTTTGGGAAACCGAGTAATCTGGCGAACCTCTGAAAGATGTGGAAACGTACTCTTGGCAATAAACATGTTAATTTCCAAGAATTCACTCAACTTTCCTTGGAGAAAATTCCAAATCGAAGCAAGGGTATCTAACGTGCTTCAAAATAATGCCTACTTTTTTATTACCACAATTTTTCTGATAAACTTGAGTTTTTTTTAAATATAAAAAAATGTCTTTTTAAGAATTAATGTCGTGAAGATATTTATTGTTACTCGAGCATCCCTATTACTATATGGTGGAATTTCTTTCCGGTAAACCAATTTAAGGAAATTACCCGTATATGATTATATTTACACTTAAAGTATTGTTCAACTCCAGATAGGTTAAAACTATTTGGGACTTTGATACGTACTGTATTTTAAAGGCTTAAGGCCCTAAACTCATCCCATAGAAAACTAGTACAATTTAGTAATTTTTGCAGATACTTCCAAACTTGTACTAGTTTTTGCATATTTCTAGCAGGAAACAGGATCGAGACTCGTTCGACCTTTTAAGTTTGGGCTGCATATACATAAATACGATGGTTCACAAAGATAACTGGATTGAGGATATTCCACTAAAAGTAAGTAGAACAGCAAAATACCAAAGGAAGAAATATATTTCGTAAACAAAATATAAAAATTATTGATTTGTTGAAAGTTATGGAGAGAAATCTGTGGAAGACACAAAAGACCAGAGGTGAGTTACAGCATTACAATATGATTCTGGAGATTATTCTGATGGGCAAAACAACAATAAGAGTTGATTCATGATTTCTTTCGTCGTTCGGCTTTTTTATCTGAAGAAATAGAATTCTCACACCTATAACACTAATTTATTGATTCCCGGGGCTTGATTATCATTTTTGAATCAACAAAAAAATTAGTAAATATATATGTAATAAACGCGCTTCTATTTATAAGGTTTAATTTATTATAGAATTGCTATTTTTATTATTATTATCGTAAAAAACATATATTTGACTGATTTAAAAAAAAAAGATTCATGCAAAATATCAATATTAGAATTATTTTCTCAATATTTTGATAATGAAATTTATAATTTTATTAAAAAGCGAATCCTTGTCTTTATTTATCAAAAAGGAAAAGAGATCCCCGTTAGAATATTACTATATATAAACATTTTTATAAATTATAACAGTCAAATAATTTTTAAACCTACCAATCATAAAAAAAATCTAGGTAATTATATAAAAACCTCGATAATTTCAGCCGGTATATAACCAGTTTTTCCATTTTTTGTCAATTTAACTAACCACCAATAAATATTAGAATCATCCAACAAAGTTAAAGAGTCACCTTTTTCTACACTTGCTTGACCTTCAACAGTAGCTTCAAATGTATGCATTGAATAAACTAAATCAAAATCGATATCTTCATCGATAATTGATGATGACGACGACGATAAGCTATCATATTCTGTATTATGGTCATTTGACTTTGAGATGGTGGTGGTAGTTTTTGCATCGTTTTTTTCATTATCATTAGTTTCAACATTTTGATCATTATTATCCTTGACAATGGTATTATTTATTATTATGCCTCGAACAGTTGTTTCAGCGTTGTCAATGGTTGAATCATGTTGTCGAAGCATTTTTCAAAATAAATTTTTTTTTAGAAAAATAAACTTATCATAATGATAATGATAATAATAATGATTTTATTTTAAATATTATTTTATTTATTTATATTTACTATATTTATAAAATAAAACTTTTACGTTATCATAGTTACGATTGATTGGTGATTCCTTTTTAAGTTTGTGCGATCTAACTATTTTTTATAGAACACATGATGCACGGGCGTATATAATATTAATATGTATTAAACTTTATATTTTATTAGAAAAAACTAAAATAAATTTGTTATAATTTTTTTTGCACAAAAAAAAAATACTCGATATGCTTTTCAAATGATAAAATCACATCTCCTACCCAATATTACTAATATTAAAACGCAAGGATTACACCAAAACAAATGGTATACATTAATTCATCGATTAACTCCATATCACCATGTGCTATCACTTCATTGATCTTTCTACCTCGCTTAATTTTTTCCCAATTAACACGAATATAACTGAGCGCAGCATTTTTCAAAGAATAATTTTTTGTCTTCCAACCAATAAATAATATCTCACTCCAATTATCATCACTAACCTGATCAATGATTTTTGAAGCAACCAATTCACCCAGTTCCGGAATTTCTCTAATATCTGCTTCAATAAACAAATCTTTCAATACATCGAATGGTATATCATCATTTAATTTGCCAGAGTAAAGAAAGTAAATCAGATATTTAAAACATTGATAGGTAACGTTCTTGATGGGAATGATTGTTGCCTTTGATTCGGCCCATTCACCATTGAACATTCTATCAAAATAACTGGAACGGATAGATAAAGCCAATCTAGATGCTTTAATTTCTGATTCATCGTTGAAACTAAAAGTCACATCACTAAAATTATTGTTGTTGAAATAATTTTCCAAAGAAGGTTGAAACTTAATGATATCAACATTATTAATATTATAATTTGCTTGCAAGTCATCTTCAGTATATAATTTTAACCTGATAATAATATCGAGTTTAATTGACGTGTCATTGCTGGGGAATAGGTTTGTCAGATCACTAAATTTAACTTTTCCTCCACTATCACCCTTATGATCTAGATTGAAGCTTTTCTTAAAGACCGTTTGACCAACATTTACAGGCCTCAATTCTACTTTGGATGTGTTGGGATTAATTCCAACCTTAAACAATTCGAGAACATATCTAACTGCTCTACAGTGAATTCCATGCATTTTTTCATAATCAGTTGGAAACGCGTAAAGGAATAATGACAAAAATTGTTCAGTTTTGTAACCTTTTGGGAACATACATAATCTCCAAGCACAACCATTGCTGATTATATCATTATTAGTAGAATGGTTAATGATGGTGGTAGTATTAGCAGTTGTATTATCACCAGAAACCGTCATAATATTGGTGGCAGTATTCATTTCATTATTAATTGTTGACGAGGAAGAGCATGGTGAATAGAAAGCACCGCTCCAAACAGTTTGACAATGAGTTGGGTTTTTATAAAAATGTTGAAAATCTTTGATGAACCAAATAAAAGTTTTTAATAATTTATTTTCATCCATTGAAAAATTACTACTAGAAAATACATTATTGATGATATTTTCTGGTTGAGGTGTAGGTGTGGAAAGTAATTGTTGTTGTTGTTGTTGTTGTACTGGTGTTTGATCCAAAGTTCTTTTTGCTTGAGGTGAAAAAGACATTTTTTTTTTTTAATAAATTTTTTTTTTTTTTTTTTTTTTTTTGAAAAACGCGTAAATAGAATTATTTCTAATTCATTATTATGGACTTACCAAAAACGGTAACTGCTTCTCAGGGGTTAATTGATTTCTTGCTCTCTAGCCAGAGTTGCAAGGGTTTAACAGTTTGTAATTTTATAAACTTGCCTCTTATTAAAGTATTATTGTTAATTTTGTCTGATTTTGATCCAGCATGCTTCGTGTAATGTAATAATGACGCATGCATGGCATATGTACAATGAATTAATTAGTTAATTAATCAAAGTGATCTTTTGAATTGAAATTGGAGAGAAAAATTATTTTTTTGCGTAAGATCAGACTTTATTATGATCGTCATCTTATGACCTTTGAAGATCTCTATTTTTGAGACATCCATCAAATATGAAAGGAAGGAGGGTAAAAAAAATTTTTTTAAATTTTATTGTATTATTAGTTTTTTATTTATATTTATTATTTTAATAATTTAATTAATCAATTCCATTTCTATACGAGATTTTCTTTTCCCATTCCCCCCTTCACTTTTTCAATCCCCATCCTCGCTTGTTCTCCTCTTTTCTTTCTTTTATATGGCAACTTTTTGAAAATTTAATACTAGAAAAGTCATTACGATATTTTTTAATGGTTTATTACTAGTTCTTTGCCCTAATATCAGGATATCATCCCAATTATCCTCATCTATAATCTCACTAAACTTGTTTACCAACAACTTCAACAATCCATCCAAACCCATCATTTCAGCTTTAACATAAACATCCTTCAACAATTCAAGATCTTGCGTATCAACCAACTTTCCTGAATAAATGTAAAACAAAATAGCTCGAAATGTTTCATATTTAAAGCTATGAATTTTTATTGTTTCAGAATTCGATTCTTTCCATTCCCCTTTCAACATTTTATTAAAATACGCTGACCCACCTGCTAGTATCACCCGGTGAGCTTTGATTATCGATCCACAATCCAGCAAAAATCTTATATCGGTAAATGAATCATCTTCAAAAAATTTTTCATTTGTACTACTTAGGAAATATGATCGTGAGTTGGATCTCTTGCTCTCACTATCATCATCATTGAAAAATTCCACTTTAAATATCAAGTCATAATTTTTCTCATAATTGTTATTATTATTGTTATTGCCACTCTTGAAATTCTTGATTGAGTAGAATTTCGAATATCCAAAGTCATCATCGCTGTTAAAAATAAATTTATGTTCTAATATCTCTGTATCAGTTTTTAATTTTATCAACTTTGTTTTTGTGAAATCATCAGATATTTCCATCATTTCAATTGATAATTTGAATCTGGCATATCTTGTATCTATGAGATTTTGATTTTCGTAGGGTGTTTGTATAGCTTCTAAATATAATGAAATATACTCGTTAGCATCCCTTAATTTATTGCCTTCTGGGAATAATATTAACCTCCATAATGTTGGTTGCTGTTGCTGTTGTAGCAGCAGTTGTTGTTCGTCATTATTGATATTATCACTACCTAATACTAAATGATATTGGGTTTGGATGCTGTTCATCATATTGCTAGTGTTGTTGTTATTGTTGTTGTTAGAAATGCTGGTAGAATTGTTGTGAAGAGGTAATTTTGGTACCCAAAATCTTGAACTATAAAATTTATCACCAAATTTACAATTATTTAAATATTGTTGAAATGCCGAAACTTTCCAGCTAAAACAATGATACGGTTTTGATTCTGTTAATAAAGCTGTTGGATTAACCGTTTCTTCTACTGATGGGCAAAACAACAATAAGAGTTGATTCATGATTTCTTTCGTCGTTCGGCTTTTTTATCTGAAGAAATAGAAT